CTGGGGATTCTAGGCAGGGGCTCTACCACTGAGCCACACCCCAGCCCCTCACTGGGGGATTCTAGATAGGGGCTCAACCCAGTTCCTGGGTTTTGCTGCAGGATCATGCTGTGTAGCCCAGGCTGGCCTGGAACTCGAGATCCTTCTGCCTCAACCTCTAGAGTGCATGGATGACAGGAAGGAAGCACTACCTTGTCCTATGTGATAGAAATGTTCCACCTATGTACGGCCCCATGGTAGTAGCCACTGGCCACACTGCCGCTCAGTCTGGCTGATGGGCCTGAGGAATGGAACTTTTCAGTAAATTAAATTCTTTTGTTTTTAAACAGGGCCTCATTATGTAGCCCTGGCTGTCCTAAAGCTCACAAAGACCCACCTCCCTCTGTCTCTCAAGAGCTGGGACTAAAGGAATGTGCAACAATTCCCAGTTATAAATGTAGTCAATTCTAATGTAATAATGGAGTAGACTCATACTTCAGAGGCCTAGAGGTAGCTCAGGAGATGATGGTCAGGAGACTGAGAGGCCAGAGGTCAGAAGAGGTCAAGGGTCAACAAACCAAGATGAAAAAGACAAAACCCCAGGGACCTTCCAGTCGGAGTCCCAGGGCCTCTTCTCAGCTCTCAAATTGGTACTTCAATGGATTTCCCAAAAGGCCATGATCTCCAGTCATCTAGCCGTCACTCAGATGCCAGCTCCTCAGGAAGACCCACCTGGCCTTCTAAAGCAGAGCCCTTAGTGGGTATGGTTGCACACAGTCAACATCACGGACATTGGGGGGATGAAGCAGGAGATCTATTCTGGGCTACAGAGCTGAGAGCTTGTCTCAAATAAATAAAAACAAAAGTAGACCCTTGAGGCTAGAGATGGACCCCAGTGTAGAACACTTGACTAGCTTGTACAAAGCCCTAGAATGAACCCAATTCCACAAATATGTTTTTCTTACTTTACACATAACAGGTCCAGGAAGGTTACAGCTTTCTACCTTGTTCCTTATTAAGAGAATATCCAGGCACTTAGTAGGTGTTCAGTAACAACACAGGCCTCTGTCATAGAAGAGGCTCACCTCAGCTTCCTGCCTGTGAGTCCTGCACGTGTCGTTTGTCTGCCGGGACTACCCCCTCCCCCACCTTCACCTGGCTAAACCCCAATCTCAGAGAAAACCCCAGAACTTTCTCCCTCACCATAAAACCCATGGTGGTTCCTCACAACACTGCACACACTTCCATTTGTATCTCTGAAAGTGGTGGTCTAATCAGTACTGGTCTCCCCCATTTGACTATGGGCTTGCCAGTGCCCAGTCATCCCTCCTCTGCAGCACACCTGCAGTCCCCTCAACCCCTGGGGACTCATTCTGATCTTTCCCATGTCGCTGGTGACTGAATCCCACAACCTATCATCTCACTCTCTGATAATACTCCTCCCATGTTGCCCTCCCACAGGCTGGCCCCAGCGCTCCCCCAATGTCCAGGGGTCTCCAAGCTGATATTCATGTTCTCCGTCTCAAGTAGGAAAGAATAAAGTAACCCCTTCCTGACTCTTAAGCCTCAGGGGTCTGGAAACAAGCCTTCACAGGCGTTCTAAGGCACACATAGGCGCTCCCAGGAGTATCTTGGTCTGTAACTGCCCTCCCATGGTCCTGAGACCCACACTTCCTTCCCAAAGCTCTAGGTCTACTGTTGTCTTCCCACAGCTTCTTAGGAACCCTTCATCTGTCCATGAGCCTGGTCTACAAAGCTAGTTCCAAAACAGCTTCCAAAGCCACAGAGAAACCCTGCCTTAAAAAACCAAAAACAAAAACAAAAAACAAAAAAACAACAAAAAAAACCCAAAACATCCCCTTCTCATAATACTTAGGAGTCTCTATCTCTCCAAGGAGCCTCACGACTTCCTCCACCCCCATAAGCCCCTGGGCCCTTCTTGTCTCTTCCAGGACCATCAGTATCCATAACTGTTTTCTTGCAAGACTTTATGGCTTCCTTTGTCTACAACTGCCTTCCCATGAGCCTCTGGGTCCCCCACATCTCTCTCAGAAGAAGTTCACCAAACAACTGCCTTCCTGAGATGCTTTGGCCACATGTCCCTCCAGCAGCCTCTGGGCCTTGTGTATGCATTCCCATGAGCCTCTGGGACTGATGTTCTCCTTTAGGAGACCTTTTTCTCAATGCACATGCACCCCTTTTGAGAGATGAGGTAAGGGGGATCACCCCCACAAAGACCTTAGCCAGCGAAGTGCAGGGCTAGACTTCAAATCCATATGGTATGGCTTCAGGATCTATGTCCAAAATGGATGTAGGTAGGAGGGAAGGGGGACATGCAGGGAACACAAAGTACTCACTCTGGAACATTCCACGGTGTCCCAGAGCTCCCTGACCAGAACTGGAAAAGCTCAGTGGTCTAAAGAGGAGACACAGATGAGGGTTAGACATTCCCTGTTGGCCATTACAGACCCATCCTTACATCCCAGATCTCCATAGGTCCCAGCCCAGGCCACCTGAGGGCCAGAAGGACCCAGCTTGGCCTGGAGGGATGGTGCAGAGATGAGCTGTGCTGAAGACATGGTAGCCATCGTCTGGAATGCTTTGTCCTTGGAAACTTGGTCCTGGGGAAAGGTTGAGGTCCAGATGAATGGGGAGTTCTAGCCAAGATAGCCAGTGTGGGATAATGTCAAGGTCGGGGAAGGAGAGGAAGACATGGGACTGTGTGACACAGGGTCAGAGAGAGGTCAGCTCTCCACCTGCACCTTCTGGCCTCCTCAGGAAGGACGGTGTGTGAGGTACAGGGGTGGGGGAGGTGCCAAGGGAAGAAAGGAAACCCAACTTAGGAACTGCAGGCTGTACTTCACCTCCCTTAGCACCGGAAGACCACCCTGAGTCAGCATAGGGCTGAGAAGGGGGGCTGCAAATGGAACGGGTTGCACCTTACCTCAGAGGGAGAAAGGTTCGCAAGACCAGGATAAGATACTAACGGGTTTTCTAAGTCAAGAAACGGCTAGACAGTGTTTCCGGATGCCCAGGCTACAGGAAATGAGACTTTCAAGACCCCTGGGAACAGGAAGGGGGTGTTTCATATTTCATACAGAATACAGAAGGGACTGAGAAAATACAGAAAGACCGGAACCTGAGGGTTGCAGACCTGCAGAAAAGGAAGGGACCATTTCCAAGTAAAAGAACAGGAAGTAAACTAGAAGTGGTGGCGCACACCTTTAATCCCAGCATTGGGGAAGCAGAGGCAGGTGTATCTCTGAGTTTGGGACCAGAGTGAGTTCCAGGACAGCCAAGAACAGCTAAAGCTAAAAGAGAAACTCAGTCTCAAAGAAACAAAGCAGGAAATAATCAAGGCTAAAAGAAAAACCACACACAAAGAAACAGTGATGGGGATTCAGGCTGGAGGGCACAGAAAACCCACGGTGGAGAAGAGAGAGAAGATGGTACAGTCTCTCACAGGAAAGCACACATGTAGACCAAGGAAGGCAAGGAAGAACAGAGAAACAACAGGGAAATGAAATGAGACCAGCAGGGACAGAGGGAGGGAAGGACTGTAGCAGAGCAGGAACAAAGCCAAACTATCAGCTACATGAGCCTCTGCCTGATGAGCAGGCCAGCAGGCCAACCGGCACTCCTCAGCCTGGCCTCCCTGGATCTCCCTCTCTCTCTGTCTTCCCATTCCCTCTGTGGGTGCATGTGAGTCTGTCTGTCTGTCTGTCTGTCTACTCCCACCTCCATGTATCTGTGTGTGTCTCTCTCTGAGTCTGTGTGTGTGTGTCTCCATTCTGTGCACGTGTCCTCCCCCCATCTCCATGTGTTGTGTCTGTGTGTCCCCATCTTTCTCTGTGTGTGTCCCACATCTATGTGTCCCCTCCATCTCTCTGGGTCTCTCTCTCTCTCTCTGTCTCTGACTCCCCAGGTGTCTCTGTCCCTTCTCTATCGTCTCTCTCTCTCAGCCTCTGAATCTGTATCCGTTCTCGCTCTCTTTCACCCCTCCCTCCCTCTCCCTATCCCCATGGAGCCTCCCTACCTGCCTTTTTCCTTACCTTCAGCTTGGACTGAATTTCTCTCGATTTCCTTCGAGCCAAAACTTGGATGTGACTAGAGACCTGGAGAGACGAGAAGCGGATTTGAACAGTCTTTGTCCACTACCCTCCCCCCCTGTGGCTGCATATGTTGTTCCTCCACAGGTGACAGTCTAAGGTCGAAGGCTGTCTGCAGGAGTGGAAATGCAGCCTCCAAGGCTGACCCACCAGGTTCAGGCCCCTCCTGTCCTTCCTGCTTAGGTTTTCAGTGTCTCTCTCTGAGCCCCTTTTGTAATGACCCTCCTACAGAAATGTCAGCTCTGACAAGATGGCTCAGCAGGTAATGGCACTTGATACCAAGCCTAACGTCCAAAGTTCCATCCCTGAGACCTACACAGTGAAAGGAGAAAATCAATTCCTGAATGTTATCTTCTGATTTCTACATGCATACCATGGCACATGGCTACACACACACACACACACACACACACACACACACACTAAATACTGAAGTTGTTTTTTTATACTTAAAATTGTTTTATATTACATTTTATGTATGTGGGTTCAAGTGCATCATGGTGCATATGCAGAGGTCAGAAGCACAGTTTTAGTAGTTGGTTCTCTGATCATGTGGGCCCCAGGACTAAGCTCAGGCCAGGCTTAGCAGCAAGCCCCTTTACCCACTGAGTCATTTCACAGGCACATCATATAAACATTTTACAGAAGTATCTGGCAAGCCTACAACATAGGGAAAACACATGAAACAGAAGCCAGGGTTCAGAGTAAGGCTTGCCCTTCATGCATTAGGGTATCAGTTCAATCCACACTAAACTTATAATCCCAGCTCTAGAGGCTGCAGACAGGTGCAGGCTGGTCAAATCAGCACGCTCAGGGCCAATGAAAGACCCAGTCTCAAAGCAGTGGACAGCTACTGAGAGGAAACCTGATGTCATCTCCTGGCCTCCACATGCTCACGCACACAAATGCATGGATCCCCACATACAAACAAGCTTAAGCACACACATGTATGGAGCCCCACATACAAACAAGCTTAAGTACACACATGCATGGATACCTCCCCACACACACAAGCTTCATGCAACACATGCACAGATATATATAACACTCCACATATACAAGTTTCATGCACACACATGCATGGATCCCCACACACATACAAGCTTCATGCACACACATGCATGGATCCACACACACATACAAGATTCATGCACACACATGCATGGATCCACACACACATACAAGATTCATGCACACACATGCATGGATCCACACACACATACAAGATTCATGCACACACATGCATGGATCCACACACACATACAAGCTTTTCATTTCTTTTTTAATCACATGAACCGCATCTGCCTTGAACCTGAACCAGCACATGAAGATGATCCTCAGGAAGTGCCCAGCCCCAAACCAAAGCCCCAAAGTGTCAAGTTTTGAGACCTGCTTTCGAGTTCTGGTCTTCCCTGTCCTCAGCTTGATGTAGCGGGCAATGAGTTCATTCCGGCCTGGAAGAGTCAAAATGGAAAAGAGCAAAGCTATCAGCAGAACTTCCTGCTAGAGAAGACAGCGATGAAGGATGACATCAGCAAGCCAGCAATCCTCACTCAACTCCAGCCAAGCCAGGCTGAGGAGCTCCAGCCGCAAGATCACCAGCTCAGTCACACACGAACTATGTAGCCTCCAACAAATCATGTTTTTTTGTTTTGTTTTGTTTTGTTTTGTTTTTTTCTTGAGACAGGTCTTTCTACATCATACTGCCTGTGCTGGAACTGACTGTGTAGATCAGGCTGACTTCAAACTTGCAGAGATCTATCTGCTCACCTGCCTCTGCCTCCAGAGTACTGGGATTAAAGGTGCCACCACACCGACCTCATTTTTACTATTTTGAGACAGAGTCTTATATGGATGGGGCTAATGTAGAGCTCAGTAGGTAGTCTAGGATGACCCCGAACTCTTGAGGTATGTGCCAGTGCAGCTGGCTAGACTCTGGACACATTAGTGTGATTTTTCTCACTTGGGTCAGGGCACCACAGGGGACTCACCATACATCTTGCCCTCATCTGACAGGATGATCTTGCGTCGGCCACAGGGAGGGTATATGGCCAGGGCCTCTTGAAAACTCTGCTCGATGTCGGGGCTCCACACACCCTCTGCATCAGGGCCCCCGTCACCTCCGACACCCTCACTGCCTCCAGTGCCCTCCTCGCTGCCCTCCTCACTGCCCGTCCAGCCCCCGCCATCATCCAGGGGGGCCCCAGTCCGGGGTTCCCCCATCTGGGCCTGCAGAGACAAAGATCAGCAGCCATGTATGGTGTTGCAAGAACAAGGCAGGAGCCCTGACTGAGGGAGGAAGCTAGGCCTGAACTTCTGGGTTGAAGCCTAGAACCCTGGGTCTGAGGGAGGAAAGAAACCTAAGCCTGGGACCTGGGAGGCTGTTCTTCCCCTGAGCTTTCAGAGGTTGAAAGCATTGGGTTGAAGTCACCTGACCACCTCAGAGTGGTGCCCGAGGCCATGTGGACTAAAGCTGTGTTTGGATCACCGATCCAACTAACCAGAGTCTGGTTAGTTGCCAGGAGTGAGAACCTCCAGTCCCACTAAGAAGGAACAGGTGCTAAGAAAGGGCAGCAGCTGCTGGAAAAGAAGAGGCTGTGTTCAAGATCCAGGGAGAGAGGAAAGAGAGATCCAGAGAGAGGGTGGGGCAGAGAGATCTAGGGACAGAGACCCAGATAGGCACAGAGAACGGGGAATAAATCATGGCTTTATGGCTGAGACCTGGAAGCAACCACAGAACCAGGCGGAGCTGTGGCTAGGACGCCCATCAAGCCCCAGGCCTAGGGACTCAGTAGTCCAGCCATCTGGAGGCCAGAACAAAGAGCCCAGGCATCCCCTCCCCCAGTTCCCCACAACCCTGACTGGGGGCGGGGCCTGAGTGCGAGCAGCCTCCATGGCCCCGCCCCCTCCCCCTGGGCTCGACTCCAACCTAAGTTCCCGTCGACTTTCCAGAGGCCAGAAATAGGGAAAACTTTTCCCATACAGTCCGATACCGCCTCCCTGGAGGTTCCATGTCTTCCAGAACTTTCCCAGGCTCATAGAGTTCTGAGTCCCATCCCCTCCTCTGGACTCTAGACCTGGTGGAGGTTAAGCGAACAAAGACCCCCCCAGGCCCAGCCCAGTGTGGCGGCGACGTTTAGGACCCCCGCAGACTGAAATCCCAACACAGCCCATGTGGCCAGACAAAGAGCCGGGCGAGCCGGGCAGGGCAGACGGTACACCCCTAACGTCCTGCCTGGGTCCCCAAGCCTCAGAAGAGCCATGGACGAAGGTCCAGGGGGCCTCGTAGCTCTCCCCTGACACCCCCGCGCCTGCTCTGCTCCATGAAGGGGCCACATGCTCGCGGGGCGGACACTTGCAGCAAGGATGGCCCGGGAGGCGTGCACCACGCACCAACCCGAGATCCGCGGCTCCTAGTTCCCACGTCCGGAGTCCGCAGCCCCCGGCCACCCGCGCGCTCCCCCTGCCGCAGACCATCCCCAGGCCGCTAACTCCGAGTAAGTTCCAGCTCCACACTGCGGCTGCATCCCAGCGCAAACTCGGGCCCCAAGGCAGAAAGAGGGCGGCGAGTAATTCCCACGCGGTCCCGGGAACACGCACCTCACCTCATCGCGCGGAACTTCCCACCCCAACTCACACACCCCAAGCAGGAGCCCGATTCCCGCCGGCGCCTTCCTACCTCCCGGCCTGGGCAGGGGAGCCGCGGGCGGGCGGGGCAAGACCCGGAGAAAGTTGCCGGGAGCTTTGTTTGGGAAAAGTGGGAGGGACCGCAGGGGGGGCGGGCCCGGCAGCAGGCTCGGGATCCCACGGTGACACTCGGGACAAGGTATTTGCTTTGGGAGAGATGAGTCCATCTAAGGGCTGGGTGCGGATGCTGGGTCCCTAGGAGAGGAGGTAGCTATGCGGGTCTGAATTCCTGGCTGTGAGGGAGGAGGGTGGGGTCTGTAACTCTGGGTCTGAAAGCAGGATACTTGGATCTGGACCCTGGGTCTGAGGGAGGAGGGCTGGGGCCTTCCTGGGTCTGAGGGAGAAGTTACTGGGAGTTGAGGGAAGAGAGTAGACTCCGTGACCTGGACCACCCTGTAATGTGTGTGTTTGCTGAGGATGTGGAATTGACAAGGAAACAAAATAATCTTTAGCAATTTTATATGTATTTTTATTCTTATTATATGTTTTTGACTTTTAAATTTTATTTTATCTGTATGAGTGTTTTTCTGCATGTGTACCAGAGGTCAGAAGAGGGCACTGGATCCCCTTGAACTGGAGTTACAGATGGTTGTGGTCCACTGCGTGGGTGCTGTGAATCAAATCCAGGTCATCTGGAAGAGCAGCCAGTGATCCAAACCACTGAGTTGTCTCTCTCTCTCTCTCTCTCTCTCTCTCTCTCTCTGTGTGTGTGTCTCTCTGTGTCTCTCTGTGTCTCTCTCTCTCT